TTTGGTAATGGACAAATACACATTGAGGCAGATTATTGAAGCAAAGTATGGGAGTAGCATTTCAGGTTGGAGTCTGATCGGATCTCAACTCCATCTGCTTTAAAGTAGCTCCATTCTCTTTTATGAGAAGTGGCTCATCTCTCTTGCTATTGGCTAACACCTGTGCATAAGACCTGTCTCAAAGCTGTTCTCCAGATCTTAGTGAATGACGAAGTATGGGAGTAGCATTTCAGGCTGAAAGGAAGCAATTCAAAATTGCAGTTTCATTAGTATCTCTTCATAGGTGTTAAGGGATTCAGTTATCTAAGTTCTGTAATGCTGTGTTCTATCATCTTTGATTAGGAGGGTGGCTGCTTTGTTGTATATGTATCTAAATCCTTATGCTTTCTTCTGTATTGGGCTCTTTCCCCTTTTCCTGTTTGTTGCTGAGCTTTTTACTTACAGAAAAATAATATTATGCTGTATATATAGTGTTTCTGATGCTCCAAAATCAGAGGTCTGTCATCATATTTTACAAACTATCAGTAGTATAGCCTTGCTCATGTTCTAGTCTGCAATGCACTGTTTTAATGAAAAAAATTTCCTTCTACATCATCAGCATATTTCAAGAAATTGATTGTGAGATTTGCACTGTTGGGACCCCATATCTTATGGAATCTAGAAAATTCTTGTGTTTTTTAGATATGAGAACTACAACTGGAGCAAAATCTTCTAGCTGCCTAGAATCTTCCTTTGAGATATAATTTATATATTCTATACAACTCTTATAACTCTCTTTTTATCACCTATCGGAGCTACTTCTAGGTTCCTGCATATGACTTCATTTCTAATTATGTCCTTTCTAGTTTTACCTGTTATTTATCTTAGCATTCACATTTTTGCCACAGTTATTTTTGGACATGCTATCACCTAACTGCTCAACACTCTGCTCCATACAACATTTTGATATTCTTTTAAACTTTTATTCCCCAAAAGCAGATTATAGGGGCTGCTTTGTCATTTCTTCTTCTGTGGAATTATTATGAGCTTTTAACCAGTGTAATTTCATTAACAAATCCAAAGATTAGAAACAAAATGAGCAGTACATAAACATGTTCCAGCATGCAGCCATTATGCAGTCAAGGTGCTTCTGATGTTGATGGTAGTGGGACATGTAACAAAGTTAACTGAAGAAAGAAAATCTTCATGTAAGGGTACAGTGATATCCTTGATACCAAGGAAATGAAATAGAGATTGCATTGTCTGTCAATTCTTTTTATTGTTGCCATCATAATGGACAGTGAAAACATAGGCAATCTAGCTTTTGTGTAGTCTTCCTTTGCTTGAATAACGATCCTGTGTGTTGTGTTATAGATCTTATGGTGCAACTTATGCTGGTATTGCTAATTCATTATTTATATTTTGGACTTTCATATAATGAAGATATAAACCTGACTGAAAGCGCATGGATGCTTGGTCATAGAGAAGGAATTCCTTGATTCTTATGTTGTTGTTGAGGAGCACTCTGTTATCCTCCCTGAAATTTTATTTTAATAGGGCTGCAAATGGCATCTGATTGTCCAAATATGAATGTCCCATTAAGGGTAGTCTGAATTCGATCTGTTTATAATTGGATTAATTATGGAACCACCCCTATCCATTCTAATATAGTCCAATTTGATTTGAGTTAAATATATATGCTCATATATAGTTGAAATTTATATTGCACCTATTAGTAAAGTTGGTTAGAATGTTTTGTTTTTTACTAAATTGTCATAGGTTCAAGTTTCAACCAAGTAATTTTCAATTCATTTTGCTCATGACAATATCAAAGTCATTTCTATTTTAAAGTGTCTTATTTATTTATTTTATGAATTGTTCTGCATATTCTTCAGTCATTAGTACAGTGCACTGTGCATCACCATTTGCTATCCATAGTTCCATACAAGGAAAGGAAGAATGACCATTCCCCTCAGAAGAAAAGGAATATTTTAAGTTCTGCTGCTGGCCATATATTCTGAACCATTTTGGACGTTAACATTGTACACTTGGAGCTTTGAACTTTTAAGAACCCAGTTTCATCTCTCTCTCTCTCTCACACACATACACACAAGAAAAAAAAAGAAAATGTAACTTCAACTCAACTGTACTCTTGGGGCGTTGTTACTCAAAAATGAGTTTCAGAAAAGTTATTAGTTTTGAAGAAAATGTTCTCTATGGATCCATTTGGTAGCACAAAAAATATAAGAAAATGAATGATTTGCAAAAAGAAAAAAAAATGTTATTTTATGCTATTTGGTTGCACATAAAATGGTCACGAGTCATGATAAGCAAATGGCTTCCAAAAAGTGACGAAATCACATTCCAAAAGAGGGTTGGTTCTGTTGCTTTAAATTTTTGTTATACCTATGTATACATCAATTATTGAGGTTGGTATTCCAAGTTAAGCTAAGCATCACAAAAATTAGTTTTGGTTTGTTTGCAGTATAATTTCATTTACATTGATGCAAAAATACAAGTGTGAATAGTTATTTGTTTTTGTTTCAGTTTTTGCCCTATTCTGTGTGTTTGCATCGTGGATGAAGTGAAATAAAACCTAAAACAAAGCAACTCTCATGCATTTGTAGTAATAAAAGTGAAATTAAGGCTCAGTTTGGAAAAAGTATAAATATAAATATGTATAGTACAAATGCATACAAAATAATACAAAATATATGGCTTTGTACTCTGCATATTTGTATTTGTACTCTTTTTAAACAGAGCCTAAACTCCAAACAAATGGAGCCTTAGAAAAACAAATTTCTTATTGATGTTGTATTTAACTATTTATATACTAGTTTAAGGGATGTACCATGCAAGTATGCAAGGCTAAAATATTTGGACAACTTCTATTTATAAGTATTAATCCTTATATGACAAGATATTGGGTAAAAAACTTAAAAGTTAAAACCTTACAAGCTAAATTTTGGGTTAAATGAATAAAAAAAAAACTCATCTAATCATCTTCAACAGCACAATTATAAATAACATTTTTATGAAACCCCATGGCCATTAAAACTGGCCGACAACAAAATTATCGACGATATTAAATAAATAAAAATATTTCTTGCATACAAATATACTAAATAATTCAAACAAAAAAACATGTTAATACTTGGTTTAACATCCCAATGCAACAAGCATCAAATTTTTTCAACTCCCAATTGATGAATCACGAGTTGCAATGGTGAACTAGATGCCAATGCCGAGTATCTTTAGTGAGGGGAGGTCTTTGTCCGAATAAGCTGAACACGAAGAGTTAAAGGCAAAGGACCTTAAGTGGGGAAAAACTAAGTTTTTAAAAAGGGAAAAGTGCATATTATTACCCTGTACCTTGGGCTTAGTTTTATTTTGGTTATTGAATTTTAAAATGTGCCAATTCAATATACCTAAGCTTCTAAAACATACCAGTTTAGTCCCTATTGTTAGCGGTCCATCAGTTACCTCTATCAAGTGATGATATGTGTGACTTAAAACTTTTGAAAAGATCAAAATTATCTTTTGACACTGTTCATCATCTTTTTCCTCAAGAATCAAGATTGAACCAAAGCAACGGATTGATTTTTGACAAATTGCTTTTCTCTATTAGCTTCTAAGAAATTTGGGCATTTCAATGGTTGACAAAGAAAATTAGATGACACCCAGAGGGTATTTATGCCCTTTTACATGCCACTTAACGGCAATTACCGGTTTTGTACTTAACTAACACGTTTTGGAAGTTTAGGTAGTGGATTTGAAATCTTGATGGATTATAAAAGGAGAACTCTTTGTCCGATGATAACATCACTCAATTCATAAACTTCTTTGCCAAGAGGATTCGGGTGGCTCACAATCTCATATTGCCTTTGGTGAGGTAACTTCGAAGCAGTTTTGGAAGTTTAAATACTTGCACTGCAAGTCCGAATTCTGATTAGTTGAATGCTTTGACTGTTCAGCAGGTTGTGAAACCAATGATGAGATTCTATGCCAACAATAAATTCTTAGGCCCCACTGTAAAAAGTGCATTACTGACATGAAACCTTATCATTGGTTTCACACTTCGCTAAACAGCCAAAATGTTCAACTAAACTTTGCTCCGGGAGTCCACCTTTATCTTGTGTAAATGCATGAATAACTCCCTTCCTGTTAAAGTGGAATTGGCTCTAAGAGGCCCTATGATAGAGGTGGAGTGCAGTATCATCAGGAAGTCGAAACTCTTGAACATCCATTGTTTAAGTCTCCTATGGTTCGACGAATTTGGTACAACTTGACTATAAAGTCTACGAACGGATCACCATGAAGAATGGATGTTAAGTGACTCGCTTAATCATTGGGCTCAGCTAGAAGATCCCACAGGCAGACATGGTTATTCTGTTTCCGCTCAATTCTCATAGTTGAGTCATATATATATATATTATGTATATAAAAAGGTTAGCAAACAAACCTACGTATTTGTGTTTAAATTTTGTTTGAAGTTTGATTTAAACTGAGCTAAATTTGGCTTTTAGGAGCTGAATTAGAATAGCTCGTCAAAATCTCAGTTCCTGTTCACCCCTAGCATTTCATTTGAAATTTACAATGTCATCAATAGAATAGAAACCCAGCTCGCTAATATATGACCCATATCGCTAATAGATGGTAAGTTGTTAATTAGGGCTGTCAAAGGATTGGATCTGTGGATCGGGACCAATTAGAATCAAAACCAGCCTGACATGAAATATTGAGGACCTGAAATCAAATCGGACATGATAGGATCTACAGATCTGATTATATATATGTATGTATATATGTATATCGAGTCGGGTCTGAATCAGTTTAGGACTTGACGAAACTGGTTCCAAACTGATAATCAGGACACTAGTATAAGTTCCTGAAACTAGAACCGGCCCAATTGGTTCGGGTCCATCGGAATATCGGGTCGGACCGATCCATTGACAACCCTTATTGGTAAATGGTAACCTTGTGAATGTTAGATCTCCTTCCTGCCAACGACCACCATTAGATAATAAATTTTGATGGGGCAATATCCTTCGATCGAGCCGGCACAGGTTTGATGGCGAGAGATCGGAATGGTGCTTTGATCATTGCGCGATATGTGGCTCTTTGTGCTTTCCGGTGGAAGCTGAAGCATTAGCTTTAAAAGAAGCTTTGAAGTTAGCCTTGGATTTCCATTTTCACCACGTCATGTTGAGGGGAGATGCAATTACAGTGGTTAAATCCCTGGTGGAGACCTCCCATGCTACTCCTTGGTGAATCTTAAATTGCATCACTGATTGCACGGCCCTAGTTGAAAGAATCCTTCACTGCTCAGTCCAATTCATTAACCGTTAAGTAACCAGGTGGCCCATTTGTTGATCAGGCATGCTAAACTTCCCGCCAAAACAATGAGAAATGGTTGCTTTCACTCCAGGCTGCAACTTATTCTTAAGTGCTTTGAACGTTGCTCTATGGAACTCCAGCATTAGATTATCTGTAAACGAAGGATGCAGCCACAAAGCCCTCTTCCTCTTCCGCCAAATGAAGCAGTTGGGCTTGGAACCCGACAAATTAACCTTTCCCTTGATAGCAAAAGCCTGCGGGAAGCTCTCGAACCTCCTATACTGCCAAATAATCCATACCCATGTTGTGAAACTCCCGCTCTGGTCTGATAAGTTCGTGCAAACAGCCATGGCGGATATGTATATCAAATGTGGTCGCTTAGAGTTTGCAAACATACTGTTTGAGAGGATGCCTGAGAAGGATGTCACTTCTTGGAATGCAATGATCATGGGGTTTTCTCAATCAAGTATTGAGAGAGTTTTGGATCTTTTTCGTGAAATGAAGCTCGCTGGGTTTAAGCCTGACTCGGTGACACTCATAGGCTTGATTCAATCAAGTTCCAATATGAAGAATTTGAATATGGCAAGAGCCATGCATTGCTCTGGGATTCAAGTTGGGGTTGCAGACGATGTTTCTGTAGCCAACACGTTGATTTCTGCGTATGCTAAGTGCCATGACCTGAGCTCAGCAAGGGTGGTATTTGACGCAACTCCTATGGCTGTGAGAACTGTAGTGTCATGGAATTCCATGATTGCAGGGTATTCCCACTTAGAGAGAACTTTTGAGGCCATTAGCATCTACAAATCTATGTGCCAATATGGTGTTAGGCCAGATGTAAGCACCATTGTTAGCTTGCTTTCATCATGTGCTCACCCTGAAGTGCTCTTACAGGGTAAGCTGATCCATTCACATGGTGTCCACACAGGGTGTTCTTTGGATATTTCTGTTATTAACACCCTCATTTCTATGTATTCTAAGTGTGGAGATATCATCTCTGCACGTAACTTATTCAACAGAATGTCCGAGAGAACTTGTGTTTCATGGACGGCCATGATCAGTGGGTATGCCGAGAAAGGGGATTTGGATGAAGCAATGAATTTGTTTCATGCCATGGAATCAGCTGGTGAGTCGCCTGATTTGGTTACTATGGTTGCTTTGCTGTCCGCTTGTGGTCAAACAGGAGCACTAGAGCTTGGAAGATGGATTAATAAGTATTCTATTTCAAAAGGATTAATGCAGAATGTAATGGTTTATAATGCATTGATAGACATGTATGTGAAATGCGGAAGTACAAAGAGTGCCCGTGAAATCTTTGACATGATGCCTGAGAGAACAACTGTATCTTGGACAACTATGATTGCTGGGTATGCACTGAATGGAGAATCCAAAGAAGCTTTAAGTGTTTTCTCTCAGATGGTTGAATCAGGTTTTAGACCAAACCATTTAACTTTTCTTGCCATCCTTCAAGCTTGTACTCATGCAGGTTTCCTTGAGAAGGGATGGGAGCATTTCACTTTGATGACTGAAGTATATAAAATAAGCCCTAGACTAGAACACTATGCCTGCATGGCTGATCTTCTTGGAAGGATGGGAAAGTTAAAAGAAGCATTGGAGTTCATCCATAACATGCCTGTAAAACCTGATGCTGGTGTATGGGGTGCTTTGCTTGGTGCCTGCAAGATCCATCGAGACCTAGAAACTGCTGAGTATGTTGCCAATCATCTTTTTGAACTTGAGCCCCATGCTGCAGTTTCATATGTGGCAATGGCTAACATCTATGCAGCTGAAGAGAGGTGGGATGGTGTGGTAAAGATACGGGCAATGATGAAATGCAACAGAGTGAAGAAATCAGCAGGTTGTAGCCTTGTTCAAGTGAATGGAAAGATTCATACATTCACAGTTGAAGACAGGTGCCACCCTGAAGACTTACTTATATATGAAGTGTTAGATGGTTTAGCTTTGCAGTTGAGAGAATTAGATTGAGCCCTCAACACTAAAATCAAACTTCAGGGATCATTATAGTACATGAGTTGTAAGCCTGTCAATGATACCCAAAACTCTGTGGCTTGATCTGACATCCGATTTGATTATCTCAGATTTGGATGTACCCCGATACGATACGAGAGACAGAGACAGAATCCAATTGGGATGGAACTCATATGCATTGTTCATACACCCAATCATATTTTGGATCAAAATTGGATGCTATTAATCCTTTATCAGATCGACCTCGGATTTAGGTGAATCCAATCTGAATGCCTAATGAGTTGTTGAGTTATATAGTAAAATTACCAGATTTGATGACGGCTTTGATGAAAGTGTCTTAATTAATCACACATTTTGGCATGTTCAGAAAATGATCGAAGTTCCAAATCTTACACTCACTGGGCATCCGATAAATCCCAAGAACAAATTGGAGTCACATTTTGTGACCCATTTGCTTTTGTTATGAAAATGTTGATAAGGAAACCCATGGAGGGATTAACTTTAGCTTGGTCTATAAAATGGTCAGGCAAACAGAATGGAATGGCAAAACAAGAGCCATGTAGTGAACCCCATAGAGTTGGAACAAGGTTTATGTTATGATGATGATTATGGAGGTGTTTGGTACAGTGGCATTGCATTGTCATTGCATTTTGGGTTGTTCTATATAAATGCAAATTCTTTCTTCAGTAAGCTCCTTCTCATGTTGCTATTCTTACTGTATTTCCTACATCCCCAGATTCTCCTTTTGTTCTTCTCATTCTCTTGTTGTTTCTTCTGTCAAGGGCTCAAATTCAAATCCGCTTATTGTCGATTATCTGATTGACACCCTTGGGTTCTCCAAAGCCCATGCCCTTTCAGCTTCACATTATTTGCATCGGGTAAAAAACCTAGAAAAGCCCCTGCTTCCACCAGCAATTGGGATTTACGGAGACCCATATTCGAACTGCTGTCCAAGTGGAACCCAGAATTCTCCTTGCTAATGTCAAGAAGATCCTTGAACCAA